CGTGGATGTAGACTTGAAAGTCGGCCACGGGTTGTATTCCAGGGCAACCGATCGACTTGCAGCGCTCGTTCCATGCGAGGCTGGATTGGCAGCACTTTGCTAGCTTCTTCATTGTCCACAGCTGGAGTTTAAGGGTACGACGGTTCAGGAACTCAGCACCAAGCACTGCGTTCAAAGCAAACGTGCGTGGCGAACGACTGGGCATCCATGGTACGAAGATGCGACAAAACGCCGACGCCGCCAGGTTGCGCGGACGATGGGCGACGGCATATTCAACAAACTGCATCAGTTCCATGCTCGTGAGGTCGCCATCCGACTGGTCACAGGTGATGGATAGCTCGTGTTCCATGAGGTCAACATCAGCCTCATTTTTGCTAAGCGTAGTTGTTGGGATTGGTTTAATTTGCATTGAAGCAAGATATCTCGGTGACGTGGGGAATGCGGCGGAGGGTCGTTGGCAAAGTCGCGACCGAAAACTGAAGCTGGTCAAACGAGAGTTGCTCGTACAGCGTTTTGGAAAATGCCCGAACCACCTCGGGCTTGAATTCAATCCGCCGACACGGCAGTAGCCCGATGCGACGTAGATCTCGATTTGGTTGTCGAGGTGTTGGGGGAAAATCTTTGTGCCCCCTTTTTCGTCCCAATAGCCGCTAATCGTGATTATTGTCTCGTCGGGAACGTCTGCTTTCATGTACCTACGTGACACAAATCAAGCTGGCAAGGATGAGGTGATCCATCTTTCATGTGAACCCACGGGTCTGCCACGCGAGCATACCTCTCATCCAGACAATGACCAATACGTCCATGATACCGGTGACCGGAACAGCGCCATTCAAACGACCACATGGCGAGTGAGGAAGTCCAGGCCGTACACGCCACCAACCGGCACAAGGGGGTGATGTCAGAGTTCGTCCGACCGACAAGAACGACATCGCGACAGCGTTGGCGAAGGAGTCGACAAATAGGATCGCCATGACAGCTAGTACCGCGTGCCCGTGTCCACGAGCCTCAAGTTGACCTTGAGACTTGCGAGGGTGCTCCACGTTAGATGCCCCATCCCCGACGTGTCTTGTGCTGCCATGGATTGTCATCATTCCATGTCACAATTCGACGTACAGAACGTTTTAAAAACACTATTGTACCAAGCGCGATATCCCACCTTAGTAGTAGTACTATGTAGTAATACTAGTTCGAGCCCATTAAGTGGTGTCGCCGTTAAGGCACTCACGACAACAAGAGTGCGTCCAAATGCGATGCACTTCCACCGCCATTGTCTGGGATGTTTACAGCACCACGATGGATCACCCTGTGCACTTTTTCAACACCCATTCAACAGGTCCTAAACGTGTGGAACCGTTCGGAACATTGCAAATCCATAGATGATTGACCAATCATTGAATTCATTCTAGAATTTTCCACCAATCAATGATGAGGGGTACTTCACGGTCACACACACAATTGTGATGGGTCACAATGCCTTCAGCCGCGCTGCAAACTTTGTGTGGGGCTTGCGGCTGTGGCACGACTGCAGGAGGAGCCGCGCCTTGTCACGTGCGCCGAGTTGTGCACACACCAGCTGATCATCAAGTTCACTTCAGTACCCACCACGGGACGTGTGACGCGCGTACCCCTAGAAGATATAGAGCTCGAACGTCGTGCGTTGGCATCAGGGCCTTCAAAATTTCAGCCGACGCTTCGTACGCTCGGAACGCTGGAGTTAACACTGAATCAAGACATTACGTGTGGCGGGGACGTACGCACCGTAGAACCAACGCGCCATGCTAAGTTGGACGTTGAAATCGTCAACAACGGCCAGGGAATACCGCTTCTGATAGCACTTGGTCCCCAAGCTAACCTACGACGGCGGAAAGAACCACCATAAATGGGGTGATACCACGTACTAGATGGTCTCGCTGTGGGTCGGCCACAGCCAAATGTGCGGCCGCCTTCACGATTTGCCACTTGAACAAGAGAAACACATCAAAGTCAAAGTTGGACAGAGCCAGAAACGCAGCTTGAGGTGTCAGCGTGGAGAACCCGCGGCTACCTTCCAGCGCGCCCTGCCGCTTGCACGTCAGGGTGGGGGCGATCGGGTTGCTGTACCAAGATGAGGTCGCAGTCGTTTGCACCAAAGCCTTTGAGTTCTTGTGTAAAACACTCGTGGCTCAACTAAAAGCAGGGGGTCCCAGTTCGACAACATTGGAATGGGAATTGTACTGGTTCAATCAGCGATGCATTTGGCGCCGTCGGGAACATCGTGGCATGGAGCACTTGGAACGAGTCGCTGAAGACTGGGACGGTCGACGTCACTTGAACGACGTGGGTCGGATGAAAGGCCACGTCAAGGAAGCGCTGGATCACATCAAAGTCCACAGGAAGGCAGAAGCAGTCGGCATGGGGACTGAGCTCCGGGATCTGTCAACATATCACCACGATAACGTTTCCATGCCACGTACATCCTGCAAAAGGTCGCTAAAGTGGACGGTCGCGTCACCCACGAGCATGGCAAATGGTGTCGCGGGTCCTTGAAGTCGACGCAACGCCGATAAAAACTGAAACGCGTGGACTGGGAAGAGCACCAACCCCCTTCGACCAGGATAGCTCGTTCGAATGACCTCCACTATCGACGCCAGCGTTTGGTTTAACGTCGCCGACACATCATCGTCGTCCTTGTAGTACGTTGCGACATCCGCGAGTGGCGACGGGACAAACTCGTCGGCGCGGCTGTCGGTGCGGATTTCAAATGTCGTGCCGGCTTCGTCAACCTAGCATGCATGCGCCATGTAACAACGAGGCAAAAAGCCCACGACAGTCCTACGACGAACGCATCGGTGGGCAGCGAGTCCAAAAAATAATTGCCAATGAGAAACAGAGGTTGGCCGGCCACGGTGAGCGTTGTGTTGGCAAGGCGCAAATGCACAGGATCGTTGCGAATCTACAAGATCGTCCGTGTGTACACGATTTGCACGAAGTGTCGCGAACGTACGATGGAATCGCAAGACATGACGGCAAAGTCCACCGCGTATGGAAACTGCTGCCGAAGCGATTGAAATACCGGGTGAATCATGCGGCTCTCGATAACGTCGGCGCACAGGTCTGTGAGCACCGTGCACGGTCGAATCGACTGGAGCAAGTTGGCATCTCGAAGCAGTGCCATGAGTTCTGGTACGAACGCGGCCGCGAACTTACACGACCCACTGCCACCCTCGAGAACAAAGCAGTTGACAGCACCAGTGGGTGCGAGGAAGTTGCGGTGGTAGCAATCGGCGAAAAACCGAAAGACGACACCTACCAGTACCATGTAAGCCGTCTTGTAGAATTGGCGTGGGGGAGGCCGCACGAGCGTAGGCGGCAGCGACGAACGAAGAGCTAGACACGCCGTACGGAACGGTGTTGGAGCTCCACGCAGCCATGCCTTGGGACTTATAATATGCTTGCTGGATGGCCCACACGGGTGACTGCGACAGTGACGTCTGCATGGATGGCATGTAGCGGTCGTTGGACGATGCAAAGAGCGTCGCGTTCGTGGACGTCGGGTTGTGTAGAGACGGAATCGTATCGAAGAAATCGATGATGACTGGATGAATGGAAGACCACACCAATACTTGCTGGAGCTCCGTCAGCATCGAGTGGAAGTGGCGGGCGGTAGTGAGAAGCACCAGCTTCTTCTTGAGAACTGGAAGGTAGCGTAAAAACACATTCGGAGCGAAGCGAGTCAATCGAAGCACTACCAAAGCGAGTTGAAGAGGGACGGACTTCACGCTATTGTCATCGTGGGCACGCATCACTTCCTTGGCCACTGATGGCCCCCAAGCACGCAATGGCGACTCGATAGGACGAAGGATGAACTGCTGGAGGTCGAGAGGAAGGTCCACCGCTAAGTGCAGATGAAGGTGGAACGGCAAGCGGCCGTGAGTTGATGCGTCGGATGCATAATCGAGCCAGAGGCTGGAAACATGCTGATTCGCTTGAAGCAAGTCCCACACGTTTTCCCACCTCGTATCATCGGACGAACATTTCAGCACGACCACACAAGCACAGGTCGAAGCGGCCAGGGCGTCAATGAGTTCCTTCACACAATGGACCAACCTAATAGATCTGCATGGTGCTTGCGACACTTTCTTGTTCATGTCGAAGAGCAGCCCATCGCCTCCCAACGTCGCCGCAAACCTCTTCGCCGCCTGAACCGCTTCCACAATCATGTTGGCGAATGGCCCAATCGAATTGCTTCATTCACTACACCAAACACAATCGATTGCGCAAAAGGCAAGAATTCTCCAAATAAAGGCGAATATATTCCGAAAATATTCTCAGTTTTCTTGCCCGTTCTGGGCACGAAATTCATGCACTGGACGTAATAGTCAGGATGCATGCTGCAAATCCGTAAGATCGTCTTCATGTGCGAAGACGAAATGCGATATGAAGCGCACGTGCTTTCTTCTTTGCTGCAGTGTTCAGTATATGGCCGCATGGTGTTTCCGCCGAATTCGGATTTGCTAGAACCAGCTTCAATCATACATTAAAATGACGATAGGGTCCTATTTAGATTTGTAAACTCTAATTTAGGTATCAATATGCCTAAATTAAACTAAACCTGACTCGGACAGAATTTCCATTGTGTAACAGCTCAACAGTCCAGACCGTCGGAGCCAAGCATGACAGCGAAGAAGCAATCGTCGCAGCACCCTGTGGGGAGTCCCTCTGCGGCAGGCCAGCAACGACAAATTCATCAAAAGGGCATGCCGTCTTCTGGTAATGGCCCTCCGCAATCGACGTCGCCGCAGGGGCAGGGTCGCGTCGGCTGCCTGCAATTGATCGACAATCGGAAGTGGCATTACTTTGTCATGGGCATCCTCTTCATCGACTTCTTCGGGAACGCGGTGGCGGTGGGTTTCTTGTCTCAAGTTACGTACCACACGTGGGCATTAAAGTTCCGCTTCGCTTCTGCGGGATGCTGTGGCATCTACGCCATCGACATGTTCCTTCGTTTGGTGTCTGTGAGGTCGGCGCTGTGTCGATCTCCGTCATCGTTGATGGATCTGTTTGCGTTGATGCTCGTTGGAGGAACGGAAGCTCTTCGGTACAACTCGTGCTTTGTACATTGCAGTCGTTGATGTGTCTCTCGACAGGTTCGTCAAGGCCGACAACCCCGACAACATTGTCATCACCCAGAAAGGATGGCTGGACGACAAAGCTCTGAATCCGCGCCACCCAAAGTACGTATCAAACCAAATCGAGATCTACATTGCGTCGGCATACTGCCTCTTGATCGCGCTGCGCATCGTGCTCAAGCCCCGGGCGCGCGTGTTTTCAAAAAAGTTGCACAACCACGCCAACTCGGACCACCTTCGCATTTCGATCGAGTCGCTGCGGTCGTCGCTTAAGCGGATTCCCAATATCACTGAGGTATACACATCCTACCGCCGCTGCTACTGACCTCGATTTGTGCAGGCGGCGATTGACATGATGGAAACCGACCTGCTCATGATCTGCGGCCGGAACGACGGTGAAATGTCCCGCAGCGAACTCATGCAATTCCTCGAACGTGCGCTCACGTACCGTCCGAAAGAGATCAGCGCCAGCGTGTTCCTGTCGTACCTGCGAGACATCGACGCTCAGTCGTCGCTGTTCATCTACGGCGCGGCCGACGTCGTGCGGTCGACGCTGCGTCACTGGTCGAACCAGCGGCTCTCGTTGTTCCTCACCGTTCTCGTCGTCCTCATCAACGCGTCGTTCGTGCCGTTGCTCGCGTACTTCATGAGTAAACTCGGCGACGAAGCGTTTCCGCAGCAAGTGGTCAAAGTTGCCATTCGCGACATCGCGCGGGGCTACCGCATCCGCACCGACATTCGGTACCAAAACGTGACGACCGACTCGTCCGGGATGGACATCGAATTGGAGTACATCATGCCGGAAGATGCGCTCAAGCTCGGGGTGTGGGGCATCCTCCTGATCTGCGTCCCGTTTGCAATCGTGGACTTTCTCATGGGATATTTTCAATCGACGATGATCGCCAAGGCCACCGAACGGCTTCAAGGATCGCTCCTCAAGACGATCTTAGCGCAGCCGACGCTCTTTTTTTCGCAGCGTACCGAGGGCGACTTGAACAACTTGTTCCAGTCGGATATTTCGCGTGTCAACTCGTTGTGGCAAGCTGTGTTTTGGGTAAATGCATGCAACGTGTAATTGGGCACACTCAAAACGTCGACGTGATGGCTAGAACTTGATGCACCCGATCGTGTCGATCATTTCTGGCTTTTCGTTCCTCATCTACTTCGAACCGTCCGTCGGGATGGTGTGCCTCGGGTTTGCCGCCATGATTGTGTCGTCGGGGCCGCAAGGCCACGCCAGTAAAAAGTCCAAGGACTTTGGTTCCAAGAACGCCTACGTTGCCGCCGAGTTTCAAAACGCAATTGCGTGTCAAAAGGTGTGGATTGTGGCTGCCAACGCGGTTCATTCAACGGTCGTGCAGGTCGTGCGGGCGTACTCGATCCAGGACAAGCTCCTGGCCAAGTTTGACAAGACGACGGCGATGCTGAAGAAGAGCCAATTCCTCAAGGACTTTTGGGCCGGCGTCGTTCAGATCTACGTCGACAGCGCCATGTTTTTCTTCGTCGCGGTCATGACGGCCGCGTTAGCGACCAAGGTACTCCAACGCGCTATGTGGGTGAGTTTGGTGAAAATGTGTACGATGGATGTGTAGGTGTTTCGCGCCGACATCTCGGCAGGCGACTTCTTTTCGGCCGTGACCCTTATGTCCCGTGTCTCGACGCCCGTGACCGTTCTCGGCGGGTTCATGCGCGTCGCGATTGGGAATGCCAGCAGTCTCCAGCGCCTCGATGAGATCCTTCGAGAGGTAGTAAGGATTTCTCGTCCTCCGTCGTTGTAATGAGTCGTTCGCTGTCAACCAGGAGGGGCATATCAACGACCCCAAGCAGCAAGAGGACAAGAATTTGCCCACGGTGCCACGCATGACGCAAGCGCTTCGCATCGACCGGCTGAGCTTTCAATACGATGCCACGGTCGACCATTGGGACTTGCAGGACGTGAATGCTACGTTTCCTATCGTACGTGTTACGTGAAGATGGAATGGCCGACGATTCAATTCCCTGGTATTTGATGTAGGGTCATTACGTGTGCATTGTGGGGCCGAGTGGGTGCGGCAAGAGTACGTTACTCGGGTGCTTGATGCAGTTCTACGAGCCGTCGGACGGCGTCATTGCCGTGGACAACCACAATTTACAAGGGTATTCCAAGTCGAGCTACATGAGCCAGATCGCCGTGGTGTTTCAGGACGGCGGGATTTTGAACGGCAGCATCTTGGACAATATTCGGTACGGTCGCACGTCGGACAGCGAACCTGAGACCCGACTAGATTTGGCAATTCGAACGCGACGGACGAAGAGTGCAAGAAGGCCGCCGAGCTGGCGGAATGCGGCGCGTTCATCCACGCGCTCAAGGACGGCTACGACACAATTGTCGGCCAGCACGCGACAGTCAACTTGAGTGGCGGTCAGACGCAGCGCATCTGCTTGGCACGAGCGCTGGTGCGAAAACCCACGATTTTGTTGTTGGACGAAGCCACGTCCGCTTTGGACGCGGAGACGGAGGCGTCGATCATCGACACGTTGGAGTCGTTGGCCAAGAAGATGAACATGACAGTCATTTCGGTACAACACGACGATGTTTCCTTTGACTGATGCAGCACTTGGCAGGTGACACATCGATTGTCGACGACGCGGACAGCGGATTCGATTTTGGTCATGCAGAACGGTCGCATCATCGATCGCGGGACATACCACGAGCTCCTGGCACGCCCGATGAGTTTCTTTGCCGAGTTGGTGCACAAGACGTCGACGCAAGAATCGCGCCGTGCCAAGAACAACACGACTATGAGCGGTCGCTTGAGCTTCAGCTTTGGCAACCCCCACGCAGATGACCCCGATCAAGGACGCAACACGGAGCAAGCACTCGAGATGTTCACGCATCGCCTTCGCACGCGCACGGTGAGAATGGCCTGATTTGTCTAGCGGAAGCTCATGTTGAGTCGGACTTGTAGCATAGTGCGAGTGGGCATACTGGTCGCAAGAATTCGCGTGGCGCAGGCCAAAAAGCTCTCGGCCAGCAACACTCTGCAGACGACTACATTGTTTTGTAGATCGACTGTCCTTCCTACTCTAATGCATACTTGTGTGTTTTATCAACATCGCCCCGATGGGTTCAAACAGCCCAATGCATGGCTAGATCAACGACAAACGGGTGAAGGGTACTGGAGAATAGCGTGTGTCTGTCAAAAGTTGTCTCCTCTATTTTATTCCTATGGTGCGTTTTCATGTTGATTTATGTCAAGCGGCCGAGGGATCGATCCCTGGGGGAAGCACTCTATTTTTCTTTGCATCTCTTCTATTATTCAACCGCCTTGACTCATCTTGCCGTTGAAGCACGGGCACCAGCCCCACACTCTTGCTTCGATGGCGTCGCAAGCACTGTTCTCGTTCAACTTTTCAGAGCATGTACGAGGCGAAGGCTCCTGGCACGACGTCGCAACCAAGGTGCGGCATTGTTGGGGACACTGGAACGGAAAGCCATGTTGAGTTGTAGATATGCAAGCAAGTGGCCGTGGACCCCAACATGACAGTGCGAGATCTTGTGGCGCTGCACTTGGAAGACGTCGCAGCACGTGTTCGACAGACGGAGCCCGTAGGGATGGACAATCAGCACGATCAGTACGTCGAGCGTGGACATGGAGTTCAAGCTGTCGTCCAAGAAGCACTTGCACGGCACGTACTTCACGATGCCAATCCTGTCGTGGATCTCTTTTCCATGGACGCGTTTGTTGCACGATTGTCGTCATTGAAAGAAGCATTTCCTCCGGCGTGGTTGCATGCGTTAGCGATCAAGGCGAACCCGCTGTCGGGCATCCTGGCAGCAGCCAAACCCTTGGTACGTGTGTGTTCAACGGGCTTTCATTCCACACCACTCATTGCACAAAAACTCTAGGGCATGGGCCTTGAGACCGCATCCGTTGCTGAAGCCAGGCATGCCCTGAATCTTGGGTATGCCCCGCGCACGGTGATCGTCGATTCGCCGTGCAAAACAACCGAGGACTTGAAGTTTTTCCTGCAGCAAGGATGTTATCTCAATCTCGACAACGTGGACGAAATTCACAAGGTTCACGCTTTGCTGGCTGGGGCAGTCCCCGATGCCCTCATTGGGTTGCGCATCAATCCCGTCGTGGGGGGCGGGGCGATTGCTGCCTCCAGCACGGCGACCGTCTCGAGCAAATTTGGCATACCGTGGACGGCCGACACGGATGCCGATCTCATCGCTTTGTATCGGGATCATGCGTGGTTGCAGGGGGTGCATGTTCATGTGGGCTCACAAGGTAGATTCAATCTGGTCACTCGCGCGTTTGATCGATCTTCTCCATGCAGGATGCCCTCTGACGTTGCTCGTGGCTGGAGCTCACCGCGCAGTGGCCTTTGCCAAACAGATCAATCAGACCCTAGGACGTCGCCAAGTCAAAGTGGTCGACATTGGTGGCGGGGTGCCAACCGCGTACAACGGTTTGGCCAAAGAAGCGGTCGAGTTCTCCGAGTACGCCACTCTGCTCCTCGCCTCCGTTCCAGGTTCGTTCGGGAGTGTGTCTCCATGTTGTACCTCGCTGACTTTCAAGCGCCAGAACTGTTTTCGGGCGAGTTTCGCGTCGTGACCGAGTTTGGGCGAAGTGTGTTTGCCAAAGCCGGGATCACACTGTCTCTTGTTGAAACAGTCAAGCATATGAACGGTGTGTCCGATCTCGTCGGTGTCGGATCCTGACAGGCACAACGACCTCGACAGGCCAAAACATTGCGGTCGTGCACTGCGGTGCGAACCAGTTCCTACGTCCGGTGTACCTCCCCAAGACGTGGCCGCACGTCTTTTCGGTCTTTAACGCGCATGGGGCGTTGAAATCAGGCAACATGGTGGCGCAAGACATTGCCGGGCCGCTGTGTTTTTCTGGCGATGTCCTCGCCCGCGGCGTCCTGTTGCCGCAAATCGAGGCAGGCGACTACGTGGTCATGCATGACACTGGCGCGTACAACATGGCCATGTATTCCAAGTTCAACAGCATTCCGGCGCCGGCGGTGTATGCCTATCGAAGCGATGGTAACATACATAGCCTCAGACGACTGTCCATTATCTAGATCCTTAGCGATGTCTGCGCTAGGAAACTGCGCCATCCAGTTCAGCTTGGTGCGCGGGCGAGAGACTGTGGCAGAGACGCTGGCCTTTTGGGGTCCGCCGAGGCCGCTGGAGTGGCCAGTGTGACCGTCAAAGATAACCTCTTAAAATACATAAGTATGGATTGACACAGGGTTTCCTGAACCAACAAAACTCGCAACTGAAAATGTGGCGAGTGCCGCGGCGCGCGCTCGTGACGGCCGTGGCGAATGCCAAGACCGGAAGCATACACGCGGGACAACGGCGGTCCATCTCGTTGGGTGCGCTTCGTTCGTCTTTTTCAACGTTTCCGCACACTGTGATTGGTACACACGAAACGAAGCTCTTGAGATGGACTCGGTTGATAGGCTGTGTCTGCGTAGACGATCAGCTCGACATCAAGGCGCTTACAAACGTCAACGCGATTGTGGCTGCATTCGAACCGTCGCCACTTCCGTCAGGTTGGATTGTTCCGACGCATGCACCATGGAACTGATCTGTTCGTTGGGTTTTTCCAGACAACGCATTTCATCGTTGGGTCGATGAACACGTGCCAGCAACTTCAAGCGACAAACCGTTGACCAAGGTATCATCACCGGTGAAAGACATGAAGCAGTCCTCAGATTTCATGCAGGAAGAGTTTGACGCAGTTGTCGCCGAGGCCATCACGACGCTGGCCACTTTGGAAGCTACTGCCTGGGACAGTGACGCCATCAGCGACCAATACGTCGACGTGTCCGACGCCAAGTACCAACAGCGCATTGCGTACGCGCTCGTCAAGTACAAGTGCAAAGATGCCGCAAGGTACTTTACCTTGCTCGACAAGGATCGCCAAGGTACGAATGTCGCGAGCTACTATTGCTTGGAACATAATGTGGCTTGACATGACACAGGCGTGATTTCAGCTGGCAAGTTGCGCGACCTCCTTCTTGTGTATGCCCAGGCCGCGCCCGACGAGTGGCTTTCACGTACGTCGACCCCATATTTCGATCGCTTTGTGGACTTCTCCGTGGCCAACTAGATAACTTTGACGTGTTGGACTCGGATGGCGACGGTCTTGTGTCGGAGGCAGAGATGCAGCAACTTCTCCTCAACATCCTCGGCGTGCAAAAGAGCGTACTGAAGGATCTTCTCGAACAACATGTACATTGCATCGATTCCTGCTCAACGTGCGACTGTCGGTGGGATGCTAGACCAAGCACTGGACGGCCAAGCACTCGAAACAGTTTTCGAAACTCGTGTTGGAATTTGAGACGACGTTGAAAGTGTCCGAGAAGATTCGATGCACGTGGCACTTTGCCGGCGTCCCGCCGATTCCGGAAGAAGACAAGTTTAAAGATCCACCGCCAGTGCCGCCGCGCTACACCATGTCTCTCGACGAGCTTCGCACGTCCCTGGTAAACCTTGATCGTCCAGTCTTGTTCTGACTCGTGCGAGGCAGGCAGACGAGTTCCCCGAATTCCAGACGATGCTGCCCAAGTACACCCAAGCCATCGTGGATGGCCGGTGCGTTCTCGGCTCGCCCATTCCATCATGAGCCCCTCTTTCATGTAGGCGCGAGTTCTACGAGTCACGCAACTCGAAACGCACAAACTACCTCCGCGGCGTGAGCTTCCTCACGTTTTGCGGCGTCGTCGACTACATCCTCACTCTTTACGCGTAATCGTCAATCAAACATGAGCGCATCTTCAATTCCGTCGTGGATCTGTCGGCTCGCACGCCACCTCGTGCTGCGTTCAGCTATGGCACGTTCACTGTGAACGGTCTAGTTGTCGTTGGAGGTGCCGTGGAAGTCGTCGAGGCGACCACCGTGTGTACAGCTAGCTCCAACGTCTCGGCCAATGCGTCGAGCCGCATGCTCGTCGTGGTTTCCAGCGTGTCATGGGCATTCTGGTGCTGTGTCCGGCATGTATCCAAGGCGGCGGACAAATTCGAGACACGGGACTCGAGCGCGTGGTAAAGTCGCATACCCTGCCCTCGACAGCACACACTTAGCCTGTCCAAACTTTTGCTCTTCAGGGAGTGGTGTCGTACGTGCTGTGCCTCTTTCGACGTGCCGTCCATGTGTCGCTGAAGCGTTTGCCGGAGCACAGACATGTCGCCGACTTGATCGCGCAGCGCCACCAAGTCGTGGATCACTGAATGCACCAACGTGTCGTGGCGGATCCGCGTCGCATCAGCAGCGTCCCACCGCCGGTCGCTAAACTCTGCTGCCTCTGCAAAATATCGTCAAGATGAGGCTACCTACCATCGCCCAAAGGCACTGTGCCGAAGTACCTTGGATGCGGGCCTCTGTCCACGCACTGTGCTGGGTCATGCGAGCATTGACATCGGCGATCGCGGCCAGGTGCTCCTTGCACAAGGCCTCGACGGTCGCTGCGACTTGATCCATCGCTGCCAGCCGACATGAAACATGGTTGTGTTTGTCCGTCATGTCTGCGTCCGTCCGGTACAAATGCGCGTTCGTTTGATGGAGGGAATCCTTTAATCGATCGACTTCGTCGCCGAGAGCTTGGCAATCTGTATCGACGTTGTTTTGGCAAAGCAGTCGGGGGTAGGGGGTGCAGATCGACGCACCGCGAATGTGGTGGGTGAATCGAAACGTAAGTCTCTCCACGGCGGCCGTGAGCTCCTCGACGCGATTGATGCAGTCGACTTGTAGCGCTTGCATCTCATGCTGCAGTTCTGTCCGCATCGCGGTCAGGTCGTCATTGAGAAGCTCGGCGATCTTGCCGAGTCCTTTCCGCGTCGACGTCACTTGAGCATTCAAGTACTCCATTTCGGTCTGCGTTTCTGTCTCGAGCTGGAGGTGGCGGCAAGATTCTTCTTTTAGACTCCGGACGAGCGACGCCAGCGTTTGGAACTCCATCCGCTCAACCTGTGGACACGTAGATGAGACATGGCCAACACACAACTCACGAACAGGGCATGCATTCACTGAGGCTCGGGACGACGCCGTGTGACGAAGGTGTGGCTCCTTCGTGGCCATTGTCGTCGTTGAGGCCGCTCGCTTGCGCATGACGGTGTGGCAGCTGTCCACACCCGACGCAGTGTTTGTTCGAGACAGTTACACACCACCGACGTGTGAAACCGGCGAAACCGCCGCGTCCTCTTGACTGAAAACCCCCAGTGACAATTGGACTGATGGCGGACACGGACCCTAGTGCGAGGCGACTGGCACCGACAGGAGGCACTCTTAGGCCGCTTGGTTGTACTCCAATGGTTCCTGTCAACCCCTCCGACAGCGACAATTCGCGGACCAGGAGTCGCTTTGGAAGCACCTTGTTCTTTCCGAGTTTCAAACTTCACAAACCCAGTGACGACGACAAGATGAGCAGTGGCGGACGAAAGTCGGGGCATGCTAGCACGGGTATCCTTGGTGGTGTTGTTCAATACGTGCACACACGTTTGGGAAGCATCAGTCTGGGCACTGCCGGCAATGCGTCAAATACACCCGAGATGGCCGACGACGCCGGAGCCACTCGCGCCGCCGACGTCCGCAGGTTGTCGCGCTTCCGTGCGCTAGAGAGCCGTATCGGGGACTGGCGGCTCGACGAAGCGTACCGCCGAACGAACCTACAGGTGCCCCGTGCACGGCGCCATGTCTACGCTCAAGTGACATGTTGTAGATATTCTGGAACGCCATGTTTGGGCTGACTCTGGCCGTGATCGATCTCTTCTTGTTTCCATTGACCGCCACGTACGCCTGCCAAGTCATCGCGTCGCCAGCTGACTTTGTTTGTTGGTAGAACGGTGCCGACAGGACAGCTCATCCCGACGACAATATCGATCCCCGTCGTCATTGAAGCTGTCATTACGCTCTCGACATTGGCGCTCGTGGCCCAGCTGTGGGCATTGCACAGAATGTACGAGCGCGAGAAGCGCATGATTTGGGGCGACGGGTTCAAGATGCGATACTGGAACTACCAAAACATGGGCAAGGCAGCGCTGGAATTCCTCGTGGTGTCGATTCATCCGGTGCGTCGAGACAACTCGCCACGTGCTCATGGTGCGTTTGTGACCAGTGGCCGATGGGCGAAAACGCCGTGTACCGCGAAGGCGTCACCGTCTGGATGTTCCTTCGCTTCTACCTCCTCGTCCGCGTCATCAAGGACCATTCGACCGTGTACCGACAGCGAAAGCAGATCGTCGAGGTGCATGCGTCCGACGCGCCCAAGGTTGTCTGACGAGCGTGGCAGGAAAACTTTCAACAGTCGGCCGCTCCCATGTTCAATTCGTGGCTGTCGATGCAAATCGTATTCAGCCACTCGCCGGACGTGTCGCTCGTGGTGTTTTGCATGTGGAGCTTAGGCGTGTTTTCGATCTCGACGTACCTGTGCGAGCGAGACCACAATCCGGACGACTTTACCTTTCTCAACACGACGTGGTACGTGTACACAACGTTCCTGACCATGGTACGTCCTGCTGCTCCGACGACAGCACGCGCCTCTGCATTTGCCGTCCTTCTTGCCGGGATAGCGCCGTGGGCGGACAAAAGCCGCCGTCTCTGAAGTGTGTTTATGGGTCCCTCACATGACGTGTGATAGGACATTGCCGAGTACACCGTCGACACGTGGGGCGCCCGCGCTGTGACGTGCCTCTTGATTGCTGCGGTACGCGGCACTTGAATCCCGGATGGAATGAGGTGTTGACGGGGCGGTATGCACATCAGGGCGTCGTCATGAACACGCTGGTTGTGGTCGCCATTCTGGACAACATTACTTTGGACGCCAAGGGCCGCGTCGCCCTGGCGTACGTCCATCGAACGGCCGCACAGGACTCGATCCGTCGAGCGGCTGGCGCGTTCATCGTGAGCTGGGTACGGTGGCAAGTCGTCAAGTACAAGTCGCTCGACGCGGCGAACTGGAGCAAGCATCGACTACATGTAAGCATGGCTCTCTTTTTCCCATCTGGGCATCCAGTAACTGAGGAGTGTCGTAGGTCGCCGTCGCGCTGGAAAATATGCGCACGGCTCGGTACAAAAAGCAGATCACAGAGCAGAGCTTGGGCGATCCCGTGCTCGATAAACTGCAGAGCCTCGACCTTGGGATCATGAAAATATACCACCAGATCACGCCCAAGGATTCGACGACAAACCACACGACCGCATCGTCGACCCCTGCGCGGTCGACAGCTTCGTTACGAGAACAACCACCCATGGCCCGCAATCGACGAAAGAGCTCGATGCTTCGGGCGGCACCTGCGACGTCATCGGCAGTCCTCTTGCGGTCCACGTCGTCGGCGGAAGCATCGACCTCAACATCTATGCAGCCATGCGACCCGGACAACAACTCCTTGCGGACAGAGCTGTCCAAGTTGGCGGCACATCAAGAAGAAACGCTGGCTCAGAACAAAGCGATCATTGAGGCGTTGCAAAAACTACTGCAATAATCAACGTGAAGTTGTCTTTAGCACCACCTAATGAATTGCGCATTTCAGTTGAGGCCGAGGCGGGCCAGCACTTCGTCAGCGATCGCGAGCGACGACGTCAGGCCTGGCGACTCGATGCCACAGCAATGCACCAGGCCACGCATGCCGTGGTGAGAAGCGTCCTACAGTCCCATGTGAATAACCATCCCATGGAAACGACGTCGGGACATGCCGCGAGCATGAAATCCATGTCTGGGTCGTCGGGGCCGCTCAACTTGGGGCGAATGCCGCAGTAGTCTGGAACGAGACTGTTCTCGGCCACATTTGGCCAGTACGTGGCAATGCGCCGTGCAAATTCCCGAGCTTTCGCTGCAGTCACCTGGAATACTCGACGGCATCCGCAACATGAGCATCGCGTGCGTCCCGCGAGAGAGCTGTACCGTATACTCCACTTTCTCCGTCCACTCTACATCAGGGCCAAACCGCACGTGGCCCGCCAAATCGAGAGTCGCATGAACGCCGAGCCCCCCCTTTTCAGGCACGGGGTACATTAGGTGCCTAGCGCATGGAGTCGATGGGTGCCGTGCATTGCATCGGTAAGTCGTTTGTCGTACCGAAAGGGCTTGACACTCCTGATTAGGCGAAAATAGTTGCCTTTGGCAAACGTTGTCGGCATTGGAACACTAAACGCCGTCGGATCTACGTGGCGGGAGGGGAGGGTTCATCTGCCTGGATGGTCACGGCTTCCTCTTCACTCACGCGCGAATGCGTTTGCCACGTGAGGTGCGGCCAAGCCAGCACAATTGACAACGTAATTGCATGGCAGGACATGCGTGTTGTCGTCGCCTTGTACGCGATAACGGAGTAAGATTTCGTCGAACGAGCCGCCCTGCGCTCCACCAACCACTGCGCAATGGAATGCAATGGTAGCGCCGTGGGCCTCAGCATCGCCTGTCGTATGACTTGAGACAAGGAAGGAGCTGGACGCATACCTTGTAAAGCAAGCATAAAGCCATGCGAGTCCACGATGCCAGTGGAAGGCGAGAACAGTCCCTACTCCACCATGACGCCCACAAAACAGGTCGTTGGGTACTCCGTGGCTGTAAACATCGGGTTCGAGGCGAGCAACTTGCGCCTTGGACAACAGGTGAATATCGTGAACGCCGTTTGCAAGAGCTTTCGCCTCGATCAGTCGAAGTGTCTCGACTTGATCGTGGGAGGTTGCCACGACGAGCTTCCCGCATCGTTGATGCGAGACGTTGAAATCGCGGCAGAAATCGTACATCAACTGCCGTCCACGGACGCACAACTTGGCTTTGAGGCTATCCTTTGGGTAGTAGATGCCAGCATGTATGACCTCGCTGTTTCTGCTCGAGCATTCCTGCCCAATGCCTGAGCTGGCAATTAGCTGCCAGCTACATTGCGCGTGTGAGGGACGAGGCTGCACCTGCATTTCGCTCTAGTACGACCACCTGCAGCCCGCGGCGAGCTGCTTGTCTCGCGACTGCAAGGCCAACGACGCCGCCGCCGACTACCCCCAGCACCCTCTTGCCCTGCATTTTGTGAGGCTCCAACAACCATTATCCGGATGGAACGACAAGAATGTTTGTCAACGCAGGCCAGGATGCTTGCAAGTGATCGCGATGACATCCAAAACATGCATCGGTTCGTGGAGATGACAAGTAGTAGCGACGGCACGATGCAGTTCCGCATCGCTGTGCTGCCAAGTCGACGCAGCGCAGTCGTCGAGACACTGACGGTTCGCTGCGAGGGCGTTGTCGCGACTTCTTTGACGAGGCTTGGACAACTCGTCGTGGCACGCTGCGATAGACCTTGGAGCAAGTTTACGAAGGGAGCAAGCGCCTCACTTGGAGATTTCTTGACCGGTAGTGGGATCGTCGACATTCAGTGGTCGACAGACATTCAGTGGGTCGGCACGATTCTGCACTCGATCGTTCGTGGAACGATCATGCCAAGACACTTGTCCGAAGGACGTACAGATTACTGAGATCATCGAGACGCATGTTGAAACGCGTCCGACGCACGAGTAGACCGGTGGCGCGCTCAACTTGGTGGTAGACCGAACGGTGGCCCGTCACTCTATGGCCAGCGCGCAGTCCTGTTTTGAAACGGCGCGTCGAGCCCGACGACGCCAGTCCAAACCCTGGCGACATCGTCATCACGAGTGATCGCTTTGAAGCGTACGAATTGCCTCTCGACCCAAGACCGGCAAGTCACCGCCGTGGAGACCGCCACGTGTTCGCGACAGAAGATGGAGGGGAAAGTAACAAGAAAGCAATGCCCTTGATCGATATCGAGAGCAGCATCGAGAGCGACCTACGTCCGCGCTGCAGATCGAGCCGCCGCCGCCAATGTCGCGAGAGCCTTCACACGCGCGTGAACGACATGGGTCATTCGTCATTCGTCTCGAGACAAGTGTAAGGACGATAGAGGTTAGCTAGGCAAACGCAATCGAGTCCCGAGTCAGACCGGGTCGTGTCCCCTGGTGAAATACGACAAGATTGTGCCAGGACGGACGTCCCTCTTGGCGATCCCAGATCGTCGCGACAAGCTATACCACCCCATCGACCAGGAGGTACACGAGATTAGCATTATCGTTCGGAACCAAGCGCAGCTGCAGGAAAGCGTCGGAGACGATCCAGCATGTCCTACTCACAAGGTCCTTGAACGACGTCAACTCGGACGTGGACGCGCTCGCCGCGATTCGCGTCACGGCCAACCGCGCCACCAAACAACTGCGGTCACCTCAACATGAGGTACCGGTCCTGGCTCGCCAGCTCGTCCGCCGCGTCAAAGCCAGCTTCGCGCTGTAATAGACAGCTCCACGCGTACCATGGCCTCGACGGAACAGCCGAGTGTGATGAAGAGCAATGAAATCCACTGCCGTGGATCTCCACTACGTCGATTATTTGGTGGCAGTCGGACGACCTGCTGCTGTCCTGAGAGTTTTCGACTTGCGGTTACGCACCCAGCCAAGTGACCGAATCGTCGTAGCAGTTTCGCGCGGTGGCAACCACAAGATGCCGACTCCGCAGCCGGCGGTGCGGCCCGTCGATGTGGAAGACGTGGACGTTGGCGCGCCGTGTCACTGGAAGAGACGAGGGAAGCGCAAATCCATCGCAGAGCACCTCCAGACCATCCCGGCTGTGTTGTCACACTCTGAACCATCGCCACGACGCAGCTCGACGTTGAGTTATCATGAAGAGATGGACGAAGACGCTACCGCCGTGGTATTGCCGGGGCATGCGACAGTTTGGTGACGTATCTCGATAGGGCGACGGTCGCGTGCGGCGGAAGCGACTGGCGCTCGTGTCGTCATTTCTCCAGCAGCTCCAGCTCGACGTTGTCATTCACAAATCCAAAGTCGAGTCCCTCGAAGGCGACTCGTCCAACGTGAGTGCGCTCCGGTTGGTTGACATCAAGGCGCGAGTTGGCGACTGGACGCTGGACGAAGTGTATCGAGTCAAAAACGTGAGGGTGCGACGTGTGTCGTCGCCATCACTGCAGGACTGACGCACGCGCGCCCATAGATCTTGATCAATGCCATGGGCGGCCTTGCGCTTGCGCTCTTGGAGCTGTACGTGTCGTGGATGAACAAAGTCATGCTCGACGACAACAACAAAGTCATGTACGATGATGTCGCGTTGTTTGGCCGGTGGTGTGACGGTGCGCACGCAGCGCGATCCTCGACGTGCCGACGTCCCCCCTCTCCAACTGGCTCAAGATCGCCATGAGCGTGCTGAGTTTTGTCCTGGTCGTTCAGATCGGGGACTTGTACCGGCAATTTTTCAACGACGCGTGTCAATGGGAGCGGACGTTCCAGCAAGACACTGCGCGCATGCAAAGGACACTGTTCCCGAAAACGCGGGCGTCGTCCGAGCGGACTGTCCGCCATGCCGTCGATCGCACCGTCGTGTGGATGCGGTCCGTCGGGTTGACGATCAAAAAGTACCTGACGTCGTCGCTCACGTGGTCGTGCGTGGCGGAGATGACGATTGCCGCGATCCATCCGGTGCGCGGATGTCGAGAAGAATCATGCCACACTGAGCCGCCGCTGTTGTAGCCGCCGTACGTGGACTCGATCGTCCACCTCACCGCCGCGTGCCTCATGTTCTTTCGCTTGTACCTGTTTTGCCGCGTGTACCGAGACCATTCCAAGGTGTACCGCCAGCGCCGCGACATCTTGATGGTGCGTCCCGCGTGTTGTTTTCTTCGATGACGCGACGACCGTGTTGGTCCAGAACTGCTTCCTTCACACGACCAACCCGACCTTTGACTGGTTCTTGTCGATCAAGATCGACTTTGGCAAGTCGCCGCTCCAGTTCATCCTGACGCTTTTTTTGTGTGTTTTGTTCATCTTGACCGTGTGCATCCACGTGTTCGAGCGAGAGTACCAGCCACAAGTCTTCACCATGGCCAACTCGGTCTGGTACACGTTTTGTACCCTCACGACCCACGTACGATGGCACGTGGGTCGAACGCGACACTCACTTGCGTAGGGACTTGTCGACATTGACGCGGTGTCGGTCCACGGCCGGTTCGTCACCGCCGTCATGCTCTTGTGGGTACGATGTTGTGCTGTGGAGAAGCTGACGCTGACCGTTTGTGTGTTTGTTTTTTCCAGGGCATCACGTGCGAAACCATGATCGTGGTGGCGATCCTGGACAACTTTAGCTTGAACGACCACGGGCGCATGGTGTCGGTGTACCTGAAGCGCATGCGTGCGTGGCAGCGCGTCCAACACATTGCGTCGCGCGCGATGTTGTGCTGGTGGAGATGGAAGTGCGCCCGACGGAGCCATGCTGTCATCGACGTGCGGCATACATCAATCCGTCTCTCGTGCCGTCATGCTGGATGTGCTAGGAATCGACCTGGCGATCCCATTTCTGGCACGCCATGGAGCGTCTCGGGCCGGCGCGGACCATATATTCAGACTTGGAGCAAGACGAAGGCAACCCAGTACTGGAAAAACTCATGGACCTCGAAAGGAGTGTGGCGCAGCTAATGCAACGCGTCGAGATGCACCAGCGCGTGTGTTTGTGCCGTCGTCAGACACGTGCGCCGCCGCATGACCGGGACGACCTCGTTCAACGGATGGCGGCCCTGCGGGACACCCAGGCGAAGATCGACGACCAAAAGCGCACGATCTCCATGTTGCTGGCCAGGGCAGCGGCAGCATTCCCCCACGTGTAACGAGATCAAAGTTTATAGTTTTGATGGACACAGCAACAAACGACTGGTTCCACACCACTGTTAACTCGCGACAACCAACTGCTACAACACCCCATGCAAACTAGACCCACGACGACTCGCCAGACACGCCTCGGCGCTTCTTCTTTGGCTTTGACTCAGAGTTGACAAACACGATCTTGCCTCCCGTCGTGGCTTTTGCCTCCCAGAGGGATGACTGGTGGGTCGCGCTGTTGGTCGACGTGGAATCGCGAGACCTTTTGTTTCCGAGGAGATGCCGCAGCATTTCCTTCCAGTTGCGTTTCAGTGGACCCGCCGCGGCGGGTGCCCTTGTGTCCTGTTCCGCCACCATCGAGCACGTTTGTCGACTCGACATGGACGGATGGTACGTCCAGTCGATGGAGCCGCCTTCGGAGCTGCTGATGGAGCTCGATCGTCGGCGGTTGTAGTACGACCGTGTCGCGCGAGCAGATTCGACTTGTCGCTCGAGAAAGTCGATGCGCCGCTGGTACCGTGTCTGCATCTCGAGCTTCTCCTGCATGAGTTGAGCCACTTGAGCACGCAGGCTTTCCACTTGATGCTCCACAGACGGTGGACCTGTGGAGCTGGCAGCAGACATCGACAAGGCCAAACGACTGAGGATTCGTGAATGGCCACAAGCGTGCGAAGGGGCACTTCTTGTCGCACTGGATCTGGCGCGTGAGCTCACGGTCGGGTGCGCCTTGTTCTGACCACACAGCTACTCTGCGCTCTACGTGCGCAGTCGTGCCAAGAAGGCAACCAGCAGCGCGAGCCTCAGCACAGGCTAATACCCCAGACCAGGACACGTGTGCGTCTGGAAAGTGCTCTTCTCTCCGACAGCGTATGCGCGGCATCGCTGTATCCACCGGCGTCCATTTTGTGGCGGACGTCAGTCGCTGAAGCGTGACAAGTCTGTCCGTTACTTGCGTTACACGGATCCATTATACAAATATATTAAATGCTTGACGTCGATTTCACTAGGTATTTGTATATGAT